TTATGTTTTGTACTTGCTCTTGGTTACTCGAATTGCATTTCATGAACGCAGAATAATTTGCGAACGCATAAATCACCGATTTCAAACTTTTTGCATTTCGTAAATATTGATAGTGACCAATTTGTTTGTATTTCAAAAAATTGTAACATGTTCCAATTAAATTAAATTAAAAAGAGAATAGTAAATAACTTAGTGTGTATTGCAGTTCATGTCATAAATGCGAAAATGCTGTATGTAAATGATATGCAAATTAATATGCAAATTTATGCTAATTAGACTGCCCACCAGATAATTTGGATTGTGGAGAACACTGAAAACTAAATATTGCATTTCAATAATGAATTGCCTGTGGACAATGCTGAAGAACTGATTTAGTTTTGGATTGAAATTCAAGCATACTAATTACAAATGTATCTAATTTTCATAATATCCATAATCCTTAAGGCCAGACTTTTTTTATTCCTTGTTTCTTGAGTTTTTTAAGGCAATTTTTTTGAGGAGGGCGAAAAAAAAAAAAAAATAATAATTTTTCCTATTAGATTTGTGTGATTCTCAAAGAATTGCAAATGCTATCATTGATCGGAGAGAAGAAATGAAATAACAAGTTTTTTCATGTATAACCTTGTTTCTCATCTGCGCGAGACTTCAGTACTTTGATCATGATACCACGAAAATGCAACTTGGGTTTGTTATGCGGCTGGCAAAAAAAAATGAAGATAAAAATAAGTTTTTTTTAGCAATTTTTTGCACTTACAAGTCGGCGGGCGTGAGAAATTACGCTGAAATAAAATTTTATTTTTATAAAATAAAATAAAATTTTATTTTTATTTCATTTTCGGCTCCTGTTAATTCGGCGGGTTCGCGAAACAAGGGATAATAAAAGTCTGGCCTAACATTGCATTGAAATTTGGTACATATATGCTCTTGGGTAATCCAAAGACATGGAAAAACCATGCATATTGAATGCATGGTTAAATGAGACTGCAAATCATCAAATGTACAATTAAATTTTTTTCCAATACAGTGGATCACATTGTTTTTATGTTGTGCATCACTGTATTTGCTCTATTATAAACAAAAAATCACATCATCACATTACTCGATCATTCAAATATTACTTATTTTGACCATAGAAACACCTAATGTAATTTACATTATGCATACACTACTAATATAGTAAATATGGCATGCAGATTCCATTCAGTATACTAACTGTGTTAAACTGTGTGTAAATTTTAATTTTAGAGTACACTAGAATCTGATGCAGCAGTCGGTTCAACCCAGTTAAAGAAGAAGTTGGATGAAATTGGTAGAAAAGTGTCAGAGGTAAGATTCACTGAATGTGTTTTGTTCTCAACAAATTCTGGAGCTATTTGTAACAACAATACACATTTGCTAACAAACTAATAATCACAGAAATTTGGCCAATCTGATATATTTTTTGTTAGATCTGCAACAAAGATACTCATTGCTAATGAAATAATACTATACTAGTTCGACTTATCATGTGTTTTGGTGCGGTGGCGCTTACCAGAACAAATGACAATTTTAGTTCGCCATCAGACAGATTGAGATGAATAGTAAATTTGGGGGGGGGGGGGGTTAAATTGCGAAATTAGTTGCGTTGTCATTGATTTCAACATTTTACAATGAAGAAGCAGAAATTGTCACAATACGCACATTATTACAATTATTAATTACGTACTACTAGAATGTAAGAGGTTTAAATTATTAGTTAGTATGTTAGAACACAGTCAAAGTCAAAGTTGTCATTGTCTCCATTTCTCCTTCTCTTTCTCAATGAAAAGCACTTTCCGCCATGATGTTTTCACGCACAATTTGACCTGCAACATTGTCCTTTGACCTGATAGGTCAAGTCCATTATTAACCAATCAGAATGCTGCATTGTACCAACGCAATTCTCCCAGAATTCCCAAAAGCACTCTGGTAATTAAAAAAAAAGAAAAATAAATATAAAAAAATATAGAATATAGTATTTATCGTCTTTCACAGTTGTTAACAGGTCATTGTCAAAGCATGGTTTATGCATAGTTCCTGTAGAGTGCGCATTCATAAACAAATCATGGCGGTCGTTATCCACGCTGTATTATATAAATTTGATTACAAGTATTTAGAAAAATCAAACATTGATGAAAGAACAGTTTTTAGACGGTCAAATTTGGGGCATTTTGGAGGGGATAGCCTAGGTGCTTGGTAATTTTAACTACCGGTAATCAGCTATTCTTTGTTAAATCTGTAACAAGATTGGCTAATGAACTGCTAATCCCCAAATTTTGATGAATCAAATCAAAGAATCAAGTACAAAGTATTGTTCTGAAGCGCTGTATCAGTTACTCAAGACATAACCTTGACTTGTATATGATTGTTTAAAATCTGCAGCAATTGGAGGAAGTTCGGAAATCTGACTGGGCTAAAAAAGGTATGAATATAACTGAAGATCTTGGTAAAACGGCCAAAGATGCAGCCGAGTCTGTCGGCAAACAAGGCGAACAGATTGGTAAATCCAGTGCATTCAAAGCTTTCTCACAGGTAAGATTACTGTATTCTTTTCACCTTTATAATTAAATGAAATATTCACTGCTACTAGACAGACCCTCAGTAAGAACAGAACACCTATACTCGGGCATTACCTTTTGAAGATATCATCACAATAAAGCATTTATGCCATTCTGGAACTGGCCTTGGTATGGATGGATTTCATTCACACTTGGCACATGTATTCAACATTATGGTACCTTGATGGACGTCATTTGGGTGTCCAGATCAGATTCATAATGGCCAATTGGTAGCCATTTTGTTATAAATGAATGCTGTTCTGAAGCAATATTTTTGACATGCCAAAGCTGTTAATATTCAAACTTTATATATTTATTAAATTTGATTATTAAACTCACAGGGAAATGCAATTCGTTGTTTGAATGGGTATATATAATTTGTCCATTAACAAAGACATTTTAGAAAAAATACATAAATATTGATGTGAATATGAAGCGCCAATTTTGAGTGAGATAAACTACGAGTTAAGCGCAACATATATTTAGTGTCTTTCTGTTTGCAGAGTGTCAAATCTGTGAAAGAAGAGTTAGATGAAGCAACAACAGCGAGGGCACAACCATATAAAGCTCCAGGTACATATTTATTTATATTGATTACATGTGTTCTTAAAAGCTAATTGTTATCACACTGGCTGGTCAGTTGCATACTCTTTTCTGGTTTATATATTTTGCATATGATATTGTTAATATAGCAACTGATAAACCTTAGAAAATAAATGTGATAACACAATTAATTCTTAATTAACTTTTTCACAGAGAAGCTGCGGAAAAGATCAGATAGGTCATTTCAACCTGATCTTAAAGACAAGCCAGTAGAAGCCAATGAGTAAGTTCACAGCCCATGGATGGCTTTAATGTTATTTTTATTTCACTCCTTTGATATTTTTGCATGCAACTCCATGGGAAATCAATGAAATAAAATATGCACAATTCATCAAAGTACTGAAAGTTGTAATAAAATAATCCATTATACCCAGTATATAATTAAGCTGATGACCAGTACTGGAGTGCTACAATAACACTGCTGTATTTTTACCTCCAATGCTTGATAAATATCCCATGACTTTCATCGAAATTATGCAAACTCTTCACACATGCATGATAGTGTTTCAATCTATATTTGTGTTCTTCCCTTCAGGGATGCAACAGGAATGGTTCTTCATAAAGATTCTAAATGGTTTCAACAGTGGCAAAACTTTAAAGACAATAATCAAGTTGTTAACAGTAAGCTCGTCTATTTGTTTTGACCCACACCAACACACTGCCGAAGTTATATTCAGGGTGGATGACAATCTGTAGAATGCAGTAATTTACAGACCAAATCATTGTGTGAGTTTGTTCACATTTGAGCAATCCGTTGTCATGTTTCATTGGTTTAAAAAACTTGTTTATGGAAAAAAAAAATGAAAACCTGTGTCTGAGGACGCAATTGCGATTGATTGTCTGCAGTGACTGGTTGGCAATAAATAGTAGTCGGTTGCCCCCGGTGATACAAGATTTTAGTTGCTGCGGTTATTAAATATGCAATACTGTATTTCCTTCTATTACTTGTGCATCTCTTTAAAAAACGTGCTCTTAAACCAAAAATTGTGTTTATTCTGGATCATTAAAGTATGACTTGACTGTTGACATGTCTGTTTACTGTCAAATTCACAAAGTTCAATTACCCACCATAGACTCCGGTCAGTCAAAATGACTATTTTGAACTGTAGGCATTAATCAGCAATTCTGCCAATCCATGGTGGGTATGAACTATGTGAATAGGCGGGTTCGGAGAACCCTCTGCCTAAGTTGACATGACTGTGGTTTACGCAAGTGTATGCGCTACTAATAGAGCAAATATGGTATGTATTCTGTTTAATGAAACAATGTTTGGACAATTTGGTAGTAGTAGATCATGCGCTCGAACTGATCGATGCTCACCATTTTTAGTCAAACATGCCCATTATGCTTGACTCAAATGTGAACAAATTACAGGACATACTTTCAACCAAGCTCACCACATTTGTATTCTAACAAATAACTTCTTTGTTTTCAACAGAAATCTTTGATTTAAAGATGAAGTATGATGAGAGCGATAACGCTGTCATAAGAGCATCTCGGGTTGTAACCGATAAAGTTAGTCAACTTTTAGGTAAGTTGATAGATTCAGGGTTTCACTACAAACTAGTGAAAGAACTTAGTGGTGAATGAAACACCATATGCTGAAAATTAGTGACATTATCATTGCTATTCACTTGATAAAATGCAGTACAAAATGTCAGTGAGAGCAAAAGCAAATATCCATCCATTGAATTATCTCGTGACCTTGTATACCTTAAGATATTGTACAAAAAAGCATGACCTCAGCAAATAAGTGGCATTGAATTTATATTAATATCCTGAAAATAGTTCTAATGTATTTGTTAAAAATGTGGCAAGTGCACCTTGATAAATGTTCGCTTGCTTATTTCTAATTAAGGGGGTAGAAATAAAAAAATTATCATCTTTATTTGAACATGTACAATATCACTTAGTTACAAATAATGCATTCATTATCCAGTCAATCACAGATGAAATATTATAATAGTTGAAACTTCAGTAAAGAGTATGCCTGGATTTGGCTTCTACAACAATTATGTGTTAAGTGTCCATCTGACCATCACATTGTTGTATTTGAATGTGATGTCAAATATTACCTACATTACCGTAGATTAAAAAAAATTATTGTATTTTGTGGTGATACTTGATACCAGATGGTATATATGAAGTGTATCAGCTGAATAATTTTGCTTTTCATTACAGGTGGTGTGTTTACCAAAACAGAAATGTCTGAAGTCCTGACAGAGATTATTAAAATAGATCCACATTTTTCCAAAGATAAATTTTTAAGGCAATGTGAGAGTGAAATTATTCCAAATATTCTTGAGGTAAGTGTGTATCGGTATGTTTATTTCAATGTACATATACTGTAAAAAACTTTATTTTAGATGGAATTAATTTTCGCGGAATAGACTTTTTGGGTGTTTTGTATGGATTTTATTTTCACTGTTTTTTGACAAGTTGAATGTAAAATACAGGTAAAAAGGTATATTCACTGGATTTTATTTTCACTGAATCATTCTAGCAACGAAAATAACGAAAAATTAATTCCAAGAGAAAATAAAGTTTTTTACAGTATCCTGAGAAGGAGACCCTAACATTATTTGATAACCTGTAAGCAGTCATATTTCCCATTCTTAAAGGTGAAAACCATGATGTGTACAAGGTTGATGTAGTTGTTTTATGTTTTGCCCTTTCACATTTTTATAGTGTCAGCCCCCCATTATGTAAAAAGAAATGACATGCGTGAGTGAGGAAATGTTTGTTTTCTGAACTGAACAAAAACAGCTCTAATACAAATTTTTCATATTGACTATTCTTCAGGCTATGATTAGAGGTGATCTAGATGTTTTAAAAGATTGGTGTTATGAAGCAGTAAGTATATGGGAACATTTTAAAAATGTCATGTGTACCATGTCAACTATTCATATAAAATAAATTGTTTATTGGCATGAAATTCCAACACACACTGTATGAGGACTGTGGTGAATTTGAATTCTCAAATTTTAATGCTGTGCTGACAAATTTTATTGAGTGCATACATTTTTATATTCAGTTCACGGTAGCCTCAAGCCCATCACTTACCATGTCCATGGCCATTTCTCTGAGCATACCTGAGTTAAATGAGTAGTTGGGATTTACATGTATATAAATCACTGTTCTGCCAACTGTGGTGTGTTCTGTAGGATATTATACCTATAATTTCACTGAGATTTCTTGCCACCAGATATGCATTAATTGTTGCAGTGTATCATCTTGAGTGTTAATAATTTGGGTCTATTGTTTGCAGCCGTTCAATGCCATAGCTGTACCAGTGAGGCAAGCTATTGCATTGGGATACAAGTTTGATTCCAAAGTATTGGACATTGATTATTTGGAAGTATGTAAACAGATATTTAAATATGTAGATTAGCTCTTTCAGTTTATTAGTCCCCGTTCGGACGCAGTCCGAAAACGGGGACTTATGTTTTGCCCTGTGTGCGTCCGTCCGTCCGTCCGTCCGTCCGTGATCACCTGTATCTCGAACAT